AAAATAGCCGTAGCCCTCCAACACAAGGATGTCAACGGCCACTCTAAACATAGGCAAGGCTCATTTTTGATTCTCCAGATTCTTCAACATCATTCGCATGTACTGTCAACTCAAGTGGGTTGTGCACTGTTGCTAAGTGCATCTTGCATCCGACTTAAACTTGACTTCTGTCAATAACTCCTTGCTAGATAAAGATGAAGTCAAACCATCTTCATCTGGCCTGCATGGAGTTTTTCTTCATAGTCTCTGATCTGTTTCATTTCTTACTGGGGTACCTTCCTTTTTATGTTTGAAATTTCTTTTCCCTGTTGTCCGGCCCGCACTCAGTTATACCTGGTCTCTGGATGAACCAACCAAAAAAAAGGTCACCTCTGTTTTTAGCTAATTTATGAGGGTTTCTTTTCGTTTAGGATTGGGTGTGGTGAACTTCCCGTGTGATGGTAATGATTTTGATTCCAGCCAACCCTATACAGGAGAAACATTTTGCAAAATAAACAGTGGTCACAAAGAATTTGGAGGACAAACACTGGAACCATTCTCATCCTCTTTCCCTCGCTGACTCCTTATATTGGTTAATCCTGCTCTGCCTCCCCTCAATGCTCACAGGCAGCACTGGGAGATACAGTCCAAAATGGAACATCGACTTTGCCTCCATTCGTTTGGCTCTGACGCTAATGGCTACATCACTCCTCAGGTGGCCTCAATGTCTGAATATGTAGGTTCTATCTACAGTAATAAGGTTCTAGCAGACATCCGCCTAGTCAGATGAATACCTGTGTCTGCTCATTTGGCTACCATCACGGATTCATGTTTGCCCTTTCGTTCAGCCAAAATCATTATTAGACCCCAATCTCATTAAAAAATGTAATTATTACATGTACATGGGGGTCCTTGTACAATAGCTCAACCCCTGTCAGATTCAATTCAGGCTTTGTTGATGGACCTAAACTGTTCCTCTGCTTCATTGACATCAGAGAAACTCTTGAGTTTCGATCTTGCCACTCTGTCAGTGTCCTAAGGGTCCTTGCTCTGGTAACTTTTTACCGCCTACCCCCACCAGCTAGCCATTCCCGCAATTGAACACCTTGGCCACTTGTTCTCAGTACGTGGATGTACAGATGAGGCTGGAACTTTCCACATGATGGACTGACTCCATCCAGTCACACCTTTGTTGGCAATTGAAACCAGGGATGGGCCTTCAACTATTGGTTTCTACTGGCACTTCTAGAATTTCGTGAAACACTCCTGTTCCTGAACTTTTAGTTTTCTGAGGTACTTAGCATCGTGCATATTATTCTCCCTGCCTTGACATGGAACATCTAGTTGTTGTTTTGCACCAGACTTCCTCACCTACAGGTCTGGTCACAGACAACCCCGTTTTTCCACAGAATACAGTTGTTCGTCTATCACCCCTCTCTGTTACCCTTACTCCTGACATTTTGTCAGAATTAGCCAGGAAAGACAGTTTTGCAATTCAATCACCAATAAATGCAATAACTGGCTCTTGTATCTTCAATCACAGCTACCTAATGTGCTTCCACCGTCAGCTTTCCTTCCTTAGACAACACTCTTCCAGGTATCCTTTTCCTGGCGTGTTAATTCAGTGCTTCCTTCCTAGTAGTTCATATCCTGTTGGAACTCGTTATGTGTCCTTGAGCTTTTCCAAGGTCCTTCTCCAAGTCCTTTGTAGAGGCTTCTCCACCAAATGTTTCAGTGAGGCTGGTCCCTTTTTTACTTCCAGTAGCTACTTCATTCCTGGATAGTGGTCCGCTGATGATATCCTCTACGCATACTCTCTTTGGGTGATAATACCACAGCGTCCATTTCACCCATGTCATGGGCTACCATTCAAAGCCCTGTTCATTCTCTTCCTTTTTGACAAGACATCTTCGTCATTAATTTCATAGAGTACTTCTGTTCCCTAAAGGCAGGAATTGATACAGGGCTAGGAATCAAAGCTGAAGAGGTAATATGCTTCTTCTTGTATCATTAGCCTTAAAGTGGAACTCCACTTTTAATGGTTGGGTTCCTTGGCCGTTAACTCATCTGTTCCAAATGGCAGATCTTTACTGACATTAAACCTAACCACCCTATCGGAATTCGGGTTTTGCAATGAGTTCTGTCGAGGCATGTCTATAATAGCCTCTTCATGGCATGGCATTGGCAACACTATGCATCATGGGCCCAGAAGGTGCACTACGGTTGATCAAGTTTTAGCGAATAGTCAGACGCAAAGGAAATTTGCATTTGTAGTGACTGTTGGGGTAGGTATTAGTTAGCAGACTCTTCCCACACTGCTGTGGAGGAGGAATTTCAGGCAAAAATGTTAGACCCTGGTTACATTCCTTTTAATGAATGTTATCACTAATGGCTTGATATAAATGGACTTCCTATTTATTATGTTGATTTCTGAAGCTGGAGCCCAAGCTACATGTCGCAGTCTCCTGGATCAGCATGCAACCTCAGACAACCTGCCAGCTTATGAGTTCTGCTACATCAGTACGTACTTTGTTTTACAAACCCAATAAATTTCTAAGTTAAAGGTCAGGCTTTTTCATGGTTCATTTCTCTTCAGGTTTTAGAAGTTGCTGTGTTTGATGTAGATTGTTGTATATTGCAATTTTCTGTTTGCCCATCTATTTTACTTAATACAAGGAATTTACCTTATGATGTACACAGGGTTTAATAGGCAGTTTCAAATGCTTAGGAATTTTTGTCTAGTTGGCTTTTTCGCAGTTTTGCGAAAAAGGTCATTCCTTTTGTTTTCTGTTTTTTGGGGGGTTGGCTTTTTCGCAGTTTTGCAAAAAATGCATTCTTTTTCTTTTTTCTTTTTTTTTACTTTTTCGCCAACTTGTGATTTCGGGGATTTTTCGCAAGTTGCGAAAAAGGCATTCTTTTTGTTCTTTTTTATTTTTTGGCTTTTTCACAGTTTTGCGAAAAGGCATTACTTCTGGGATTTTTGGACTTTTTTGCAGTTTTTTAATAAGTAATCCTAATCTATGAGAAATGAATGAATGAACGCTATAGTAATTAGTTAATAAATATACAATAAATAATCCTAATCTAGCTGGCCAAAAAAAAAATTGAATTGGCCCACCCTTGTCGGTGTTCACATCAATTTTCGGTGCCACCTCCAGGTAAGCAAGCTGTAATTCAGGGCAGCCATCACACTCAATGAACTCATGTTGCCTGATAACACCACCTCAGTCCACCGGCACAAAAACGTGTCCAGGGTGCACTTCAGCTCGAGGAGGACAACACTTCCCATTCTAGCTATCTACCAAATTTCAACCTAATCAGACATGTAGTTCACAAGATACAAGACTTTCAAAACGCATTTTAATGTCACTTGACTAATTACATTATGAAGTCATTATCGTATCAGGTCAATGATTGTCTAAAGCCCTCCCCTTTTCAAGATATCTGCAAGGTTTGAACCCATTCAGGTATGTTCTTCACGAGATCGTGTGCTTTGAATAGTGCACATTCAATGTCACGTGACTTGTCACATAATGCTGTCATCATATCAGATCAGTGTTTGTCTAAAGCCCTCCCCTTTCAAGACATTTCTAAGGATTGAACCCAATTGGACATGTACTTCACGAGATATAGTGCTTTAAAGAATACATCTTTAATATCATGTTATTTCTCATCTCTTGATGTCATTTCTATGTGTGTAAGGTCAATGATCGTCTATAACACATCCCTCCCTAGCTACCCGCAAGTTTTTAACCCAGTTGGATATGTATAATACAACTGGACATTGTGTTCATCAAGAAAAAGGCATGGAAAAGGTTTTATTTGATTTAGACTATTTTGTGCGTTTGGCGTTCCATACAAATCAGCGCCACATGTTGCAATGACAAAGTCAATGGGCTGAAATAAATATTGAAAATCAATAATAAATCACCTGATAATGTCATGATGATGTCATGTTTCTAGGACCATCTATGCATAAGGGTGCTTCATTGGACTTTGGTACAAGTTTGATTAAGATCCACAGTTGCAAAAGCACTAAAGTCGTTTACAGAATAAACATGCACAAAACAAATGGACTTTTGAGCAGAAGAAGAAGAAGAGGAAGAAGAAGAAGCCAAAAAAAAAAGGATTAAAAGAATGCCTGGTTGCAAAGTTGCGAAAAAGCCAATAATGTTACATGTACATGTATTTGGTTAATTCCAGAAATTAGGGGTCCATTTTTTGGTGTCCCTGTCACATCTAACGTGATTTTGTAAGTTCAAAACACATTTTCTTATTTCCAGGAGTGATGAATTAATACAAATTACCTGCCAAACAATTAGTAATATTTTGAAATCAATTCTAGTGATATTTCCATGTCAAATAGCAAAGGTCAGATGTAACAGGGACACAAAATGTCACACTTTTGGACCCCTAATTTCTGGAATTACCCATTTCTCAGGCACCATACTCATGGCCCACTCTTTGGGTTCATATACTCATGATAAGTCACAACAGAAATTACTTAGCTGTGACTGATTCTTCTTGTCACTTACGGAAGTGATATGTCAGCCCCGGCGGCCATTTTCTCAATCAATTTGCATTACTGCCAGTCCTAATTTATGAAGTCAGATGTGGCTTACAGCATGACCTGCATGAGCGTCTGGCCCCGAAGAATAGGCCACGAGTTATATTACTGAGCACACTAGTGCACCAGGAACACAACCTTAAATAGGTTTGGCTTTTTCCCCATAAAGATACTCACAAACAGCATTGAAATTCTCCTCCGAATTTCTCGGTAAAGAGAGGCAGTGAAAACATGTCACCCAGCAGCAAATGCTGCCCTTGGTGTAAAGAAGACAATGGTGTTCTCAAATGGGACCAAAAAATGAACACATCTTGAAACTGAATTTAGTCAACATGCGACAACTTGTTAGTGCACTTGAGTGTGGGGCCAAGGGTACAGAGGCAGTCCAATACCTGGGCCCCATTTATGGGACTAGTTCAATACCAGTTGCCATTACCTTTTTTGCAGATCTTCTGAGTGAGCAGGGACAGTTGAGAAGGGAAGGTTGTTGAAAAAGAGTGATTCCTTTGTTGCAGGGGATGCATTGAGCCTTGAACCCAAAACACAGTGGGTTGTACCAACCATTGTGGTTCTCTAGCCCTGAACTTTGCTTTAGAAATCAACAGTATCATATTGGAGATGCTTCATGGCCTGTTCTAAGCCCTATTGTTAAGTCATATAAAAGAAATAAACTTTCATAAAACACAAATCATCAAGATTCAAACAATTTGTTTTAACATTTTACATAACTGTTGTCTTCACCCTTAAACATAGAAGTCATTCTTGTACATTTGTGTGTGTGTAGTGTAGTCACTTAACATCTGTTTTTGAACTGTTCATTTATATTTATGATTTCAAAATGTACTTTGCGTCTGGGAGATGTTAATTTAATTAATAACAATGGATAATTCAAGGAGAATTCGTGCGTAGCCCATTCTTGCATGAATCTACAGTTCCGGATCTATTCTCTGACTTCAACTATTTCCCATTGTCCTGAGTCTATGACGCTCTTGCTGTTACCCTTCGCCTTAGTGCACACCTTTGTTCCATTTGCATGGATTTGGGCAACGTGAAACATCGACAGCATTCATGCAGTCAACACCGTCAGTGTCAGATACACACTCACTTCTCTTGCTCTCTTTCAACTTCATTAAAATATGGTTAGCTCTTTTCAAACCACTTTACAAGCTTTTCAAGATGAGGTTCACTGATCGTTACATGTTCTTATGTATGAATCATTCCAAAATGTTCCCTCACTACAGATTGCTATTTCGTTTGGAGAATGGTATTGGATTCAAATTACAATGCCAATTTTAGAGTTATATAACAACAATAAAGAATTTTTATAAAGCGCACATATCCACCTAAAATTGCTTATAACACTACAAACATTAACAACATAAGAAAATTTACAGGCTAACCCTTCAAGCAAGATTATACAAGTACGTTTTAATTCAACTGAGATATATGTGCTGGACCATGCAATCAGGGAGCAGCGACTCTGACAGATCTGTCACCTTAGGACCGGTTTGATCTTGGAACAACTAGAAGATGTACCCAATTTTTTGTCTATTCAATTAAGCTATAATCCAATAACCGTACCTTACGAATCTGCAGTTTGATGTAGACTCATAAAAATAATCTACTCTTTGAACAAAGTAGTGACATCACAGAAATAGTTCAAGATGAATGTATCAAACACTCGTGCAAAATTCTTTACCCAAAAGGGTATCAATATGGTTAATGTTTTTGGTGTTGAAAGGATGGAAGAAAAACGTTTACAACGCTCATTTAGGAATCAACATTGTATTTTGGCAAATTGCATCCCCCCACCAAAATAAACACTATGGGCTCGGCAGGTACTGTCATTTCAACCTCTGTGTTGTGCCAGGGATCTATCACTCTAGCCAATTGGTCCGTTGGAACCAATGAACAGTTCACTAGCACAGTTGAGCAAATAATTTCTGATAGCTGTTCTCCTCCTAGAAAAAAAAATCAGGGAAATAGCCCCATCTGTTTTCATTTCTCAAATTTGACTTTACTATCGCTCAGTGCTTACATGTATGTGATCTTATGCAATTCCAACTCTTTTGCAGTCATTGTAATGATGCTTCTCTCAGTGCCACCAAACCTTTCAAATTCCATAAAGGGAAGAAAACATGCACTAGGACCACAGATTGAATTGAATTAAATATGGTTAAAATTAATTTGAACTTTACTCGGTATTTTACTGCCATACTGTATGCAACTACTCAGAACTAGCACTGAAGATATTTCCCAAGGACTGTTGACCTTGGTATACATAACCATTTCAGAAACTGAAGCTTGAACAGCAGTGTTAGGGTAACAGCGTTTTCCTTTCTTTTTATATGTTGTAGATACCCTGTTGTTTTAATCTGGATCCAGCACAGAACTACAAGAAATACGCACCACAGTTATTTCTTAGTCAACAGTGTCATCTGCTCAGCAGTTGTGAACTTTGTCATTTTTGGTAGTAGGATTTGGAGATGGTCAGAAGCCCGGCAATGTCAACAGTCATGTTGACTGACTCTTAGTTGTAAGCATACAACATAAATGATCGCATGGCAGGTCATTCAGCATCTCACAAAAGAACCAAAGTTGTTACATCAGTCATCCAATTGCAGGAGCTCTTTGGAGGCCAATATTATCAGCCATTGGAAAAATTAACCACCTTGGAGGGTTGGACTTACACATGTAGGAACAAGTATGGAATGTGTGTCTCTGAGGAAGTTAACTTGACGAAAGCAGTGAGGTTGCTGGAAGAAAGAGAGTCAGAGATAAACTGACGGACAGGTGGATTAGCCTATCAGGAGCTCAACAAGATAAAGCAAGAGCTGTTGATTTGATAAGTTTGCCAAAACCTGATATACATAGCAGTCATGGAAATTGACAAGGTTGGAAGCTTGCACAGTTTGATAACTGGAGTATCAACAATTGGATAGCTGAGCATTCTACAAATGACATTCAGACCTCCATCCAAATCTGTTGGAGTCTCATAGTACATAAAAAAAACTACAAATGATATCTTTTGTGCTTCTTTAAAGCTGTACAGTATTTTGGGTGTCTTTTATAAACCATTTGTCTGTTGTAAAGTGGGAGTACTGCTAGTAGACACCTAAGGATGACTTAAGGTATTGTTTATCTTAGGTTCCATAGGAGCAATCCCTGGTGAGGTTCCAAGGCACTGTTCACCTTGAAAACATATTAGGGAACTAGTGGGCTTATTGCAATTAAACTTGACAATAACCATGATTAACATCATATGCTGCATCTTTTTCATTCTTTTGTTCAACATATATCTGTTGTCATATTATAAGCATTATCAATATGACTTTTCCCAATTGTATTCATCACGTGCCATGCTAGAATATTGTGTGTCCTAAATTCCCTGTGAATATGTCACCTGTATCACAGCATGTTGTTCAGACTTTATTGTATTTTTTGTGTGTGTGCTATGGTATGAATCAAACAAAGCACATCAAAGTGTCTATGAAAGAGCACCCAATGGAATGAACTTGGTGTACTATGGGATCTTGCCAGTACAAATCCAATGTATATGTTCTCATGTGTCCATAGTTCATAAGCGCAGGCATTGAAAATCTGTGGTTTGAATGTGGTCCATTGTGGTTTAGAGACAGAAGTATCACTGAATCAATGCAGAATTCTCTATCATAATGGATGTTGTAAATGGAACTTTTACTCTTGAGAATTAAATGTAGCACACATACATGTAATTTTCATGGATGAGGGTCGCAAGTATTGTTTGGTTACTCTATCAATTGATGTGCCAGTTGTTAATTAAAAATCTTTATTCACTGTGATAATGTGACCCTGGAGGGCATAAAAGAACACTCTTACATTAAAGGGCACTCAACATTATTAATCAAAATTGCTTTGTTTTAAGGCTAAAAGGAAGCACGAGAAATCTCAGAATGTCTTGCTGTAGAATTTTTGAAACATTCCACATAGCACTTGATGGTGCAATGATAAATTATTTCCACTAATATTGTATTTCTTACAAGATTTCAGACTGGCATGGTTCGAAAATATATCAAAATGTCATCAATATGATTTTTAAATTGCCACTTTTCCCTCAACCCAGGTTTTCCTACGAACAAACAAAATTTGCTTGTAGGAACCCTCAAAGAATTGACCCCTTCCCACTGTTAAGCGGTCATCAATTTTAGCTGAGTGCTCACCTCAACGTTAAAAAAGTGGTTTCCCTTCACCAGCCTGCCTGGAAAAATCCTGGCGATGCCTGTGGTACTATGAAACACTGGTTGCCTGTGGTTGACCTTAGATAGACATTTATTGTATCTTGTTTTTTTTGGGGGGGGGGAACCTCCCCTTAGGGTGCACCACTGCTGCCCTTTACCCTGTGCCCAGCTTTTGATAATGACTGTACGATACCAGTAGCTTTTCTTAAACTCTATTCTTTTGCAAAGACTTAAGCAATGCTATCAATTTTACTTAAACACATGAAGTCCAGAACATTGTGAAGATCAGAGGTATAATATGCATAAACATACCTACACAGTATTCCGCTTTTACATCTAGTGCAGGACAAAAATGCTATTAATTGAATCATCACACCAAATCACAGACCTGGTTGGATGACAAATACTCAACTCGTTCAACCCAAAATTGTTCAGTTAACATATTTCTGACAATGAGGTGCTCATTAGTTTATTGCACTGCACTCGCGCAACAATCACCAAAAAGAAGACATTTAGGTCAGTAAGATATGAAGAATCCACAATTTTTTGGTTTCCACATCAGTCAACATGTAGGATTTCTTCCCGGGATGACTCGCAGTTTTGCTCATGAATATAGAAATACTCATAAGTATAAAAACCCTAACCAAACCAAATACTATTTGCAAAAGCAAAGAAAAACTGAAAAAAGGTTTTGACACAGATGCAGTTTCAGTGGTTGTATGAAAAAAAATTGTGTGGACCCATAAATCAATTGAAAAAGTAATCCCAAACTTGCGGCCCTATAGACCTTTATCATGATGCTGCTACATGTATGTTTGGATTGTTCCCTGTACACCCATTGGCAGTAGAAATACAGCTTCACACATTGATGAAAGGGAACAGATTATTTCCAGCCTCAGTTTGGTTACATTGGTTCGAAAGGTAAAAAAAAAGATGGCTGCTCTATGATAGAGGTCTATACTGTACAAACTTGCATTCTTGCACCTCTCCAAAGAATGGTGTAAAGCTATACGAATTTTGTGGGCTATCAAGTGATATACTGTTGGCATATCAGAGGTTATGACAGTACATTCATTCCTTTAGAGACACTGGAAGGGTTCTATAGATTTAGGAATTATTAGTTCCACGTTATGATGAACCTTTTTGAAATCATGCTGTTGTTGCAGTTTAAAGAGCTCTTTCTTAATTTTTGATTCTTTAAAAATAAGATGCATTTCAAATGTTTAAGTGTTCATACACCCTTTGTACATGTATGTCACACTCCACAGCTTCATCTGGTGATGCATGTATCACTCTTTAGAGTGATACCATGTCAGACATCCTAGTGAACAAAACTTCCATCAGACATTTAAACAGATGAACAAGCATGTAATTTAAATATTGGGCTCTTTTGTATGAAATTGAGTGCTTCATGCGTTTTTTGGAAAGCAGCAATTAGGCAATCAGGACAACATGTAGGGAAATGCTTATCAGTCTGAATAATATCTGAATCCTTTCAATTAATTACTACATATCAGATTGAAGCTGTTGATTTACACATTCTGCATCATGTCATAAGTATTCTGTTCGGATTGCTTGTATGACATCATATGAAATAATGCCTTAATTGCCTTGTGGCTTATTGATGCTGCCTTGTCTTCAGTATCTTTCTGACATTGGGTTGGATGCTGTCATGGTAAAGTTCAATAATTTTCCTTCAAGCCCACTAATTTCCAGACATGCCTATGGGCCTTGGTACTCGTACTAGTTGGCTGTACAAATGTAGATCAAATTGACATTCTTTACAATGACAGAATTGTAGTCAGATTGAAGAGATATTTTTAAAGGATGGTGTAGAAATTGGAGTAGACAAGGTTATCATTCTTTTGTATTTATTTTTCTTTTTGGTATACTTTGTTACTTGAAAAAAATCTTTCTTCCTTTCTCCTTTTTTTTTTATTTTGGACATTGTTCTTTGTGTCAGTTTGTGAAAATTGAGAGGCAAGTTTTGAAAAGCTTCAATTTGAAGCTTTGTTTAATGATGAAACCAGTGGGCACATATGTTATTTCTTGCCTCTGCCGGGGAAATAGCCAGGACATCCAGTTAACTTTGGACCATATAGCTATATATAAAATCTAGAGCGCTAACTTATGTGCAAAGTTATGCCCGCTTGGCCCATCCATGTTTGTGCACAAACCTAGTCTGGAGACTCGAAATTTTGTATGGCTATTGACATACCTGCGTCTGTATTCTAAAACAATGCATCTACGCAAAAACCTGAATGCACAATCAGTAAATGAAGTATTCATTTGCTCTTCGCAAAAAGCATATAATTTTGACGTTTTAATTGGATTTTATGGGTAACAGATGTGCATTGCATTTTGAGTACGTAATTCAATATTCATTTTGTCGGATTTTGAATGTTCTTCAAGCATGCACAGAGATTCAAAATGTCTGCGCCCAGGATTGCGTCAAATGAGAAGTTAGCACTCTAGGGATTTAATATAGCTCTATGCTTGGGACTCACAACTTCTTGTCCATATTCAGTTACTGAACACCAAGTGTATACTGAATAGATTAATAACTATCACTCTTAATTCCCCTTCCCCAACTATTATAAATGTGTCTGTCTTTCCTGAGATTTGTTCATTTTTATGATTCTTGGAAATGTTTGCCAGGGGACTTTCAGTTACATGTAGAAATAGTTTAGGCTTTGTTCTTTTATTTGTGATTATAGTGTATATGTAAAACCTGGGTTAGAAATGTTTTTAGTGGTTGAAAGAATGGAAGATTTGAAGATAGAAAGAAGGTTGTTGAATGTGAAGTTCACTCTCTTGTATTTTTGTCAGTAAATACTTGGAGATTGCTCATGAAATAGTGGATAATATGCACCATTGGCATGGTGAAATAGGTTTAAGATTTTAATGAAAAGGTTCTGTTGAATGCAGGGCTCACATTCTTCATACAAATGTCTAATGACATTTGAAATAACCTAATGCATGTACATGTACATGGTAGATCAAGGACTTGAAATCGAACCTGAAGGTAAGCTTGAATAAAAAGTTGGTGTGATATGTTTGGCTGTATGAGCAAGACCATTGGCAATCAGAGGCATTTTGTTTGTACAAACTTTCTTAATTGCTACAAACTACTTAGCAGCAAGAATAAAATGCGTACACACAAGTTTCAGTTTTTAACACAGTGGCAGACTGACAGATAAATTGATGGCAAATGAATTTTTATGTCATGCTGTTGGTGTTGTAATGGTAAACATTGAAATTTTGTGTGTGCTGAACGAGGAGCAAAAGTAAGATGAAGGTTGTAATGAAAAATTCTTTCCTTGCAGGCATTGATTTAATTCTTGAATACATGCACATTGTTACCTCATAATATTGAAATTACATTCTATGTTACACAGTGTCTTTAATATTGCATTGTACTTTCCCTACACTGGTTATGCATTAGCATGAAATCCCTCCAGGTTGGTAAAGAGCCAAACAATGCAGTCTTTTAAATAGAATCCAACCACAAAAGCAAATGTAGCTAACGTATGATAAGCTAATGATGTTGTCCTGTGTTTTACAGCAAAAATGGGAAAAGAACCATGTCAGATTTTGACATGTTCCAAGGAGCAAGTTTTCTGGTATAGTTAAATTTCACATCAGCTGGGTTTTACACAGTTTAATAAGAACTGGATGGTTGAGACTGAATAGGACTTGATGTATTCACTTTTTTCTCTTATGTGGTAACTTCATATTGATGCATTCAGATAAAGAAATGCCTATGGTGTGAATTCGTACAATGACTCATTACACAAGGTTTTGTTGTGTTCATTCCAACATTCACGAATCTTGAACAGTTACATAAGCTATCAGATATGAGAGTTGTTTATAATCTGAATATTATAACATGGATCACAAACTTTTAATATACTGGTATAAACTCTTTTCTCTTAGCTGAATATCTTTATCAAGTCACACGTGAACCATTTTCCAAGATAGTCAGTGACTTTTGTTGGCTGATTTATTGCTTCTTGGCCTAACTGATCACATCCTGAGCCTACATTTTTAATTTCTATGATCAAAGGGTTATTCTGAGTGATCAACAAGGGGCTCGTTAAGGTGATCTACTCCAGAGCTGTATATAGAGAGAGTAATGTCATCTTCAGACTTTGGAAACAAAATGGCTGTTCATTATATGTGCAGTACAACATGCAGCTTTCCTTTGCCAATTGGTCATGTGCACTGACACATAATCCACCATTTTGGTTGCAACAATTCAGACACTCATGTTGCAACTCTCTCTGTAAACAGCTGTGATCTAATCCAGAGCTGTTGTAGAGAGAGTAGCATCAACTTCGGACTTTGGAACCAAAATGGCTGTTTTGGAGAAGCATAAAAACTGCATGCGCTTTCGTAGCAACAACCAATTCATCAGATGTAATGAGTACATTTGGAGTTTAAATACTGCCTGGCAGTGGAGTATAAACAAAAGCTGGAGATGGCTACGAAGATTCATCCTTGTAGCGTGAACGAAAGCCATGGGAGTAAATCCTGGGGGAATGGGGTATGTATCCCCCACACACTTTTTGAATTGGGAAGATGGGCTGTTGAATCATATCTCCATTTTTTTGTGGTGAGCAAAAACGTACAAGTGAATTGTAGACAAGTTTTTAGACTAAAACAACTAAAATGCATTCAGTATCACTTCAAAAAGGGAAAATAATTTCAAAAAGTCATTAATATGGCAGTTTATAGATGTATATTAATAGACATCGACATCTTTATACTGATATTTTGGGCCCTCCCCCACTTTTCAAATTTTCATGTCATCCCCCACCTTTCTTATGCCAATTCCCCCCCCCCCAATTTCAGGCACAAATTTAGGCCAGTGATGAAAGCCACTGTCTCTTTTCAGTCCCTGGACCTTCTAGTTAATATGTTGTTCAGCAGCATCCCTGTGGAATCTGGACTTGATTGCCCCTTGTTTGAGAACAGCAACTTTCAGGTGTTGGAGTGAATGGCCTGGCAAGTTGAAGTGCTGGGCAACTGGTTTCTGTTGGTCATTATTCCTGATGTTGAATTTGTGGCTGTAAAGTCGTCATTATATGTGGAGTACAGCATGCATCTATTGTGTGCTTATTGTCCATGTGCACTGACTCACAATCCATAATTTTGGTTCAGACAATTGAGATGATCTCTACAAACAGCTCTGATCTCATCAGGCCAAGCTTTCTATAGCTAATTGTCCTGGGTGTTGCTAGGATTAAGAATCTTTGTATATTGTTTGTTGTGTGCTAGGTTACAGAGTTCCATTGGGACATACCTGGTGGTGGGAATTTCCTGCTGAGTTCAATAAACACAGGCTAATTATCATTTATGAAAAAGGCAATCTCGCCATGTCATTACTGAAACCCAAGTACATACTTCCCCAAAGTGCTTATTTTGGTGTTCTGTTTTGTTTTGTTTTTACTAGTTTTTTACATAAATTAATTTATCCATTGTACTTTTATTCCTCTAGAATCATGCACAAGCAGACTGGTGCTGGGTGTGTCAATGAATGTGCACGTTTAAAACAGCATGGCTTGGTGCTTAATGTAAAAATGTGGAGACGTACAGCTGGTATTGCAGCATTCATTTATGAGGTACAGAAATGCTTATTTGCTCAATAAAGTATTGGCATTGTCAACAGAATGCTTGATGTTTGTGTTCATTTAGAAGCAGAATCTGTGCTACTTGCTCCACTGCACTAGCTTCCTGCTAATAACTGAATGACTGCTAACACATCAACTCATTTTCATGCACCTCATTTAGAGTTGTTTTGCATAATTTGAACCCAACATATTACAACTAACAAATTGTTATAAAACTTTTTAATATTGATAGGCCTACAATTATGAGTTTAAGGTCTTTCCTTCTACCTGAATGTCTTTGCATTAAATTGTTTTATTTGTGGCCTGCATATCTTGAAGTTGCCCTAGTGTTTAATAATTCGAGGGACAAGAGAGTGAAGCCCAAGGGTTTGTGAATCTGCTCAGTGCAAAGCATGGCGCAAGTACTGGTTGTTTAAAAGTATCTGAGCACCTGCCTCCTCGCCTAATGTATTTAGCACTAGGTCATGGACAGTTGTTGTGAATATAAAGGGGATTTTGTATTGTTTGTAAAGTGCTACAAATTGAATTTTACATTTAAACTCCATATGATTACATCTGGGTCTGAGTATGCTAGAAAATTTAAGAGTATTTGAAATGGAAAAGGTTGTTTTATTAAACAGGCCAGGTGGTTGACATTTCAAGGAAGACGTTTTCCTCTTGGTATAACATGTTTGCATCTTTTTGCTGATTAAATGCTGTTTAGCACAGTATGTGGGGCACCATTGTAAGTTTAATTCAACATTTTCGATTATCTGATTTTTTCTTCATTAGAACCTTCTTCCTATGCCAACAATTAAGTATGATTAGTCAAACTTCCTTTTTGTAATGATTTAGATTGGTGAGACAGGTTGTTATCGTTGACTGGTTATGGCCAATTACCACTGTACATGTTTATATGTTTCATCCTGTAGAACATGAAACAAAGATGTCAATATAGTAAAGTTGATGCGGATGAATCCACTCTTTGCTCTAGTGATTTTGTACTTTTACTACAGTGACTTATTCTTTTAGCTTTGGCATTGCCTTTTAAAACTATATGCTGGTCTGTAACATTGCATCAAGCAAGAAGTGGTTGATAATATACATCCTTGAAGTCCTGATGAGTACCTTCCCATGCCATGTACTGATCAGTCTGGCTCTATCATGTAGCAATGCTGTACATTGTACGTGGTTCACAAAGATTTCAAACAAGAATTACTTCACAACATGATACTTTTTCCTCTAGATATCCTATTTATACCTCATACAATGCCTGTTAAGATTCAGATGTATCATATGCGAGAACCATGAACTGAGTAATATATTATATAAATAACTACCACAACTGTGCCTCGTTATTCATTTTGTTTCTCTCTTTCTCTCCATGTTTTGGTTCTGTGGATATTCCTGGGTTGTTCTCTCGTTTTCACCCAGCATCTTTCATTGTATATAGGCTTCTGTTTAGAGAATAAATGTGCCATCTTTGTAACTGTCGTCAAACTCAACAGAAGGTGAAAGTGTTCAGTTGTCTTTCTGTATTTTTCTTCATTGCAGCAGTTTTATAACTGAAAAGTAGAAGAGATCCATAACAAAGCTGCATGTACGTTCAGGATAACTTACTAAGTTTACCCACATGAATATTAGAGTGAATAGAAGATCAAAATGTTTATTACATATATTGTTTATAAATTATAGTTATGAGTAAGAAATTTCACGTTACGTTGAAGCCTGTGGAAGCCCAATTCATGTAAAGTTGGACATGAAAGGATAAGCTGAGGTTTGATGCAGAAACATGCAACCCTAGCCAAATCTCTTTGGGCCCCCGGTTCCCCCTCAGTGTTGTGTATCATGCTCCAGCTACAAATAAGGCATAAGTTGGTGCTAAGTTATCATTATATTATGCACTTTTTTTATTTGAGGAGGCTCAGATCCACCGACCAACAATAATACTGTCCAAATGACGGTTAAAACGTCCCTGGCCCTCAGCTGCTGGCACTAGTGGTATTAAGGGATACCTTTTTTTGGCTTTTCCACATAGTGCAGAAAAGCTTTGATTTTTCCAAATTGCTGTTTGTTTGTTTTTTTCTGCTTGGTCTTCCAGCAGTTTTTCCCACCTCTTTGGGCAATAAATATAGGCATATGACTTTGGAACTCTACACACTTAACTTATAGCAAAGGTTTTTGCGAAACATGACACCATAACGATGTCATCACCTGGATTATTATCAATTTTTTAATATTTAATATCTCTCCATATGTTTTGTACGCATTTTTCAACAGCAAGACTTGGACACTTTTAGCGATCTGACTGAACACGTGTTAGGTCCACACTCTAAGTGCAACAGTTCAAGAGGATCCAAGAAAAGAATCGTCGTCATGACATCAACAGGTGTCACGAGACAGGGCAAAGTATTTAAACAGGGCATTTAAACTTCAAACCCATATATCTCCTGATGTACATGTCTGACCGGGTTGAAACATTGCAGATAGCTAGAAGGGGAAGTGTCATGGACGAAAACCCACCTCGTGATGATGACCTCTTCAGTTAACTAGAGATATGTTTGTCAGCAGACAAATACACTGTGGCGAATGCAACTGACACCTCAGGGATGGAATTGACCTGGCCCAACCCCACAAATATATTTATTAACCTTGAGCAAGGATGAGCGGCTACCCTGACACAAGGGGGGATATCAGTTAACGAACGGCAGACTAAGCCTAGGGGCAGTTCGTTGGGTGGAAGTTTACCACCAATTAGGAAATCCGCTTATCATCATCTTCTGATGGCAGCTCCTGTGAAAAGCTAAATCAACGTTTGGTGAGTCCGTTCCTTTTGTCCCATTTACTGGGTAGAAAGAACCCATAAATACAACATAGTAGCAGCGGTGGTCATAGTGGCAGCGGTGTCCCCAGTAAACATTAGCGGACATAACAGTCACGTTTACAGGATCTAATCAGCATTGTAGTGCAGAATTTCGGGGCCCAAAGTTTGGTAGTTCTTGTCCGATTTTAGCCCCACATGCACGTGACGTTTTGCATTTACGTTGCTCAACGGTAATTTCCGATCATGTCGCATTCAGATAGGGCGCACGCTAATTCAATGTTGATTGGGCGATTAGATCCCTATGATCAAGTGGAAGAGATCACCAACTACCTTAAAAGTTTGGATCATTATTTCAAGGCCAATGATATTCCAGCTGTCGAACAGTCTGCTGTTCTTTTGAGTTGTATTGGCACACCTGTGTACAAAACCGTGAAGAGTTTGTGTGACCCTGCGGCAGTCTCTGAAAAGACATATACTAAACTGAGCACTCTGCTCAAGTCTCATTATGGGCCTAAATGCCTTGTGATCGCTGAACGGTTTCGGTTCTATCAGCGCGGTCAAAAACCTGGTTAAATTGTGGCACAGTATTCCGTTGAACTGCAAACCCTGGCAGGACCCTGTAAATTCGGCTCTTTTCTTGATGATGCTCTCCGTGATCGCCTGGTCTGTGGTATACGCAGTGAGTTTATCCAGAAACATTTGTTGACTAAAGATGGTTTGACATTCTTTAAGGCCATTGAACTAGCCAAAACACTCCAAATGGCCACAAAGGATCTACAGGAAATCAGGGCTGGGGGAGACAGCACTGTTGTCCAGGCTGTCTAAAAGTTGAAACTGCGCCAGCCACACTTCAACAAACCTCCAAGCAAGGATCAGTGTTCCCCCTACCCTCGGCCTTGGGGGGGGGGATTGTGTAATAAGTATGACTATGACTCCTCCCACAAAACATGCCCTGCCACAGGACATCACTGCAAGAACTGCAACAAGATGGGCCACTTCTCTAAAGTCTGCCGTTCGAGGCCCAAACAGATGCGAGCCATTCTCCCAACTGATTCGGAAGAGGATGACATGACCAGCAGTGTTGCAGAAAATGAATTTTTCGTTGGTGCTGTCCGCCACAAGCAGGTGTCCATTGATGACATTTGAAGGCAAGAAGGAGTTAACGACCTTCATTACGCCATTCGATCGCTTTTGCTTCAAGCGACTCCCGTTTGGAATCACGTCAGCCCCAGAAATGTACCAACGAATAATGAGTGGCCTGTTGATCGGAATACAAGGGGTTGTGGTATACATGGACGATGTTCTGGTCACTGGCCGCACAAAAGAAGAACACGATGAACGATTCCAACACGTTCTCACGTTTATACAGAACCCTGGGCTGAAGCTCAACCGAGACAGGTGCAAATTAGCTCATAGAAAGGTTGACTTCCTTGGCATGAAGCTGGACAAGCACAGCATTCATCCCGACCCTGCAAAGATAGCAGCTATCGTACAGATGGTGCCACCAACTAACAGAGCCGAAGTGCAACGACTAATGGGCATGGTGAATTGGTTTGCCAGGTTCATTCCTCATGTATCTTCAGTTGCTGCACC